CCTGTCCAGTGAACAGAACAGCCCCTGCACTATATTATTTTTCCTGTCTGAGGGGTGTTCACCACCCACAAAATAATTTCTGCTTAATATTGCTGGGTCAAAGAGAATCTGACATGAAATGGAACAAATATAGTTCATTTTATGTTATTTCGTTATATAGTTCTAGGGGTGTTTCGTGTTCCCTCCTGCTCAATCTTCATAGGTTGCGACCCATGTGGCAAAATGCCACTTGTCCCCTGCAACAGGCAACGTTCTGCGCAAGTATGCCAAATCTACCAAGACAAGATCCACCCAGCTTTCTCTAAATTCTAAACTTCTGCTCCTGTTGTCCAGCTTGTTCTTCTTCAGGCACAGGCGGTTCTAGCTTCTCCTGTCCAGTGAACAGCCCCAGCGCTATATTAGGTTTTCCTGTCAAAAACAAGGTGAACATTTCAACCTGCAAGGTCTTGCAAGCTTGCAACTTCCAATTCCCAAACCATCTCAACATCTCAATTTCATCTAGCGCGGGCTGCTCCAATGAGAACTACTATGCGACCGTTGGCCACAAACATCTTATTCAACAGGCAGTTGCGCCAAAGATTGCTAAACATGGAGACACAGACGCATCAATTGTCTTGATCGTCTGCCTTGCGCTTGTGCGCACATCTCTCCGCCATTGTCGGAACGTACGCAGCAGACCTGGCCTTTTCCCAGGCTTTGGCAATAGCGTTGCAAAAACGTTTTGGATACACTGCGCTCTTCGCAAGAGCTGGTAAACCGTGCACACTGCCGTCTTCACCCTTCACATACATTGGTTCATATTTCTTGTTGTTTCGCTTCTCCGAGTATTTATGACGTTTCTCCATTGTCAAGGTCCGTTGCAAAGAATTGAGTGTAGGAAGATCGCCAAGCAACCACGTAGCCTTCTCCAGTTGATGACCCTCAGATTGCAGCCAAGTTTGTGCAAACTTCACATAGCTTGACTCGCAATGACTCGCAAATTTAGATATCGTTCTTCAACAAAAACAGTCAAAATGCCTAGAAACCCAAAAGCACTGGTAGGTGAGAACCCGCATCATCCCCAGTGCATTCTTCAACTGGACCACAGGAGGAAGTTTTAGCATCCAGCTTCCCTTCGGCTGCTCAATCACAACCCACGGATTGCGAACCTCTTTGATGATGAAGAGCAAGGTCACCTAAAGACAGTAAGATCATGTAAGATCCTTGAAGGCTACTAGACACTCCACAAAATCAATACGCTGATAATGAGTCCAACTGCCTTCGGGTGACCATGTTGCAAGCTATGATGTTAGCAAGCCTTGTAGCTCTGTCCCAGGGCGCCCCTTCTGGTCCAAAAAGGTGTCGAAGGTGTTGGGAGGAGCCAAGAAATATGAACATTGAGCAGGGAGGGCCCGCCCAAAGCAGGGAATGTGGCAACAAACGCAGTGCCTTGAGAAGCATCTGCATGAAGCCTTGTTCGGTGCTTGCATCCTCTTGCAGGCCACCGGTCACTATGTCGTAGTTTAGCGCTCTGTACCCCAGCCTACGAAAGCTCTCTGCCAGCCTACCCGATGCCG